GTGTGTGTGTGTGTGTGTGTGTGTGTGTGTGTGTGTACCTGTCGTCATGGATTCTGGTCAGAAGCTCCACCCGCTTCCTGAACCGTCACCTGATTGGACCCCAGCTGACCTATTACCATCCTGGCAGGCGATATTACCACGACTACGAGAACTACGCCTTCAGGTCCCGGTAAACAAACAAACAAGCAAACCAACAGCTGTTTACTGTCTGACGTCGTGTTGTTGCACCGACACTCGGCTGACTGCTGCTGCTGCTCATCACCTCAGAGGATCTAAATGAAGACTCCAGATGAGACGAAGGTTCAGACCTCCAGCTGTAATTTAGGCAGTTTAACAGAAACATGACATGTTCACAGGATCGCAGGTATCTGGACAGGTGACGTCATAATAAACACAAAAGTTGGTTTAAATCACATATATGTAGTTCTTCCTTGAATAATGAACTTAGTGAATGTGTGTTTTCTATGTCGGGTCTTCAGCTTCGTTTCTAAACTAGTTGGCTCCGTTTGTAACGCAAATAACACCTGAAGCGTTTTCATGCGTTCATCACTTTTACTTGTATTGTCTTTGTCTCATACTAATGCTGTCATTTTGCATTTCAGCATGTTGTTTTCTTGTTTTTACTTCATCCTAATTGTCTTGTTGCCTTCTGCGTTTCTTGCCTTAGCTTTGTCTCTAAACGGCGAACTTTTAAATGAGACGTGTAGCATAAAGCGATTTTGATGAAATATAAAAAAATGTTTTCTTGGATTTAGAAACTTTTCCACCAGAGCAGAGTTAGGGTCACAGATGATTAGTTCGAGGACCGTCTGATGATTCTTTCTGTTTCTGGCTGATCAATGGAGTCTTTTTAGTGATTTGTGTCCTAAAGATAAAATTCTATCGTGTTTTAAAATCAGTCCAGTTAACAGAAGCTTCCGTTGAGGTGAATGTATGTGAGCCTGAAGGACGTTCAAACTGTTCTGAGTTTAGAAAACGTCTCAACACGATGCTTCAGGCAGCAGAATCCGCTGAAATCTGTTTTTATTTCATTCCTTCTCTGTTTCTGTTCAGTCGCAGTCGGCGTCAGCTGGCTCTGAACAAAGAGGTCCAGTTCGGTTTCCCGGCCGAGGCGGTGGAGGAACCGGCAGACCTGGACACAGCCATCACCTACTACCAGCTGGATGACGCCAATGACGGCGTCTTTCCTCCGCTGCCGGTGAGAAACGAAGACGGGATGTCAGCCAGACAGAGGGGTTGGGAAGCAGCAGGTTCAAGAAAAACAGGAAGTCTGTGGTTGCTGGTCCTGGTGGTGGAAGGTTTGAATCGCTGCTTCACAAACTGTCATCATGCTCTGAGGCACTGACGAGGTCTCACCGCGATCAGATCTAAGTTTCTAATGAAGGGAGGCGGATGCAGATGCAGGGTGGTGGACTGGAATCGGTGTCAGGTGTGATCTGAGCCTTCAGATGCAGGACGGAGGATCTGGGTGATTTCATCAATCAGCGATCAATCACTTTGAACGTCTGTTTGATGACGTGTTTTCTGATTCCTTTGCAGGGCCCTGCTGTAGCTCCTCCCCCTACCATGGTAGCCCCGCCCCCTCCTGCTGGCTCCTCCTACAGAGTTCAGCGAGGCTCGGGGCCCCTCCCACCAGCACCTCCACCTGGAAACACCCCCGTATGCTCATCGGAGGAGGACCAGGAGGACACGAGCACCGTGGAGGACCAAGGTTAGAAGAGCTTAAGATTAACTGGTCAGTTTTTTTTTTAACACAAACAGACGCCTGAGAAATACATTTTCCTAAAGATCCTAAACAGGGAGTCACTGCAAGTCTGCAAACATACAGAACGTTAGAAAATATAGATGTCCCATCGCAGTTTTATCTCCTCTGATCTCCTCTGGTCCTTTAATATTTAAAATCAGCAGATACGGAGTCATACTCTGATAACATTTTCTAGTTAACACACTTTACATTCAAGCTATTAAAATGCTTGATATCTGAATATTAATATTCTGCAATTAACTGATAAAAACCTACATTTGTGCCTCCAGGCTGTTTCTGAATGTTCTGTAGGTGGAACCTTGTAAAGCTC